GGCATCTTTGGTGAGTCTTGCCAGTCTCAGCAACAAGCTACAGCTCATTAAAGAGACAAGTGAAACCAATCCCTTAATCAACTTTATGTCGAACAGTTATGATATCACTCCTCTTTCTTTCCTTGCACATCTACCAACCCCTTACCTTCTTATCTCACTCTCGCTGTATCACAATTTCTGACTTGTCTATATTCTTCATCCTAAGAGGTGCACCCTTTTTGGCGAGTTTAGTGTGGCGTCATCATACCTGCTTTTTAATGTTCCTTCATTTGGATTATAAGTTTTCTCGCTGTTTCGCCAATATATTTCTTTTTGCAGATGCTGCACGTTATGCAGTAAACTGCAGAGCATTACAATTTGGCTACTCTCTTAAACAGGGAGAAAAGTCAGCATACGAATTAGGGAACATCAAAGGTTCTGCAGGAAGATGCACGCAGAAAGAGCAGTAATAGTGGAACACATCTCACAGACTGCACAAAACATCAATCAGAAGGCAGCAAAAAGAAGAGCCTAATATGATAAAAACACAGGGAAACAGAAGATTAGGTAAGACATTGGCATTCTTGAGGAAAGAATTTAATGAATAAGAGATTGTAAAAAAGCAAGGTTAGAGATAGCTTCGCCCATTGCATAAACAAACTCGGAGTAAACAAGGGTACATCAGTACCAACAAGAAGGAGGTGTCAGGATCATGGACCTGGGGTTACCTCGAAGGTTAAGAAGAATCGCAAGGAAGAAGCGGTAGAGCAACATTATGAAATCAAGAGAAGACGTTTTTAATGAGTATAGTCAAGTCAGAGAAACAGCTAAAACTTTGGGGGTCCGGCGGTCAGGACCATCACAGGAATTCGGTATTATGGCTAGTAAAATGGAGGCCAAGTTACCAACAATCCACTCGAGATGCAGCAGGAGAGGAGATATAGACTTTCATTGTTTGCTCAGGGTACACGGGTCAAATCATAGAGATGGCATATGGAGACAATGTCTGATATCTGCAAGCTTGGGAATCATAGTGATGGTTCGACCTCGTTTGCGTAACTTGGTCGGGGTGTCAGGGAGACCTTGTGGAATGTACCTAGTCCTGCGTCCTCTGCCATAGTATACGTGATTTCCGCACCGGACCATTGACTCGGTACATTCCGAAACATTTCGGTGGAATCGAAGTCGGCATTGTCAGTAAGAGGCGCCATCATTAGCACTGAATCACCACTTATCAGAGTGACAAATGGAGGCAGTTTTCTGCTTAACCGTCGTGGAATCGCTCCTCGTCCCTATATTTTCTTCTACTTTCTTGAGAGTCATAGTCTAGACGCTCTGCTCGGTGAGACCATACTAAGCGTGTCCCCAAAAGATTGTCTTACTTAAGTAAGACGTATACTGTGAATGGAACCGAATTAAATCAGTAAACCAGTTCTGCTCATATCTTAGACTAATATCAGTGTTTATTTATTAAGTACATCCTTATTCATGTGCTCAGAAATTCCCTTACAACCAGAAATGTAAGGAATTTGATAAAAGTTATTTCCTATTTAACAATTCCATGGAAGATAAACTCTACAACGACAGCAAATTTATACGGCTAAGGGACCAAATAATATGTATTGCCAAGCTATGAAGTTGAGACACGTCACTCTCCATTTTTCTTCACCATGTCACGTTAGTAGTGGTTATAGATATTTGGGTGATCAGTTCAACCTAGATTATTAGGAGGATCTGAATTCCAATAAATCTAGTGATATATCATTGTTAGGCTAACTTTCATTTTGTATAAAAGTACGTTGTCGACTCTTAATGCCAATCATATCAGAAGAAAACAAAGAAGTGCTGTAGTTTGGTTTCATTGGGTAGGTCATATAGGTGGACCGTGTCCACATCTTTAGTTAATTGTAATTCTATACAACCGCGATGAGCCTTCAATCGTTTAAAGTTGATTTAGAAACGATTATGGAACTCTTCTTCGTGATGCGCTTTCATCTTTAATAAAACTCAAATCGGTGATGGCTTGAATGATTTCAAGACCTGACAATGTCATTCATATGAAATACAATATAATTACAGAGTAACCTAAAGTAGATCTTTTGAGAACTGTGTAAGGTTGGACGTGCCAGAAGGTTAAAATATAAGGGTTCATGAAACTTTTTTTCTCATCCTATGTGAGATTTACTCACAAATCCCGTAACCTCATCTTTAAAAACGAAATGCAAGTAATCCAAACAACCTAAATTGATTCGCTTGTGCAGAGAAGGGGAGCAGAAGATTTGAATGAGCATTAGGCAGGGTTATCCTGTACGATAGAAGGCTGCCTCTGGAGGTGGAAAACTTTTTAACACCAACCTCCTTCATATTGAATATCAAAGACTTTGGGTGGATTTTTCACTGTGAAAAGTACCATTTCAAATGGCAAACAGGATTGTTGGAATGCTAGATCTGATAACAAGAGGTAATTTGATTGAAGAAAGCCTCAATTTTGTCTTTAAGAGATTTATTGCGAGAATTAAAGATTTATATTAATAGATTGGTACCTTTGGAAGTGACAGTTTACCTATGCACAATGATGGAAATGAGTGTTGCTAAAAATAGTGTAAACCATAAAACTCTTTCCAGATATCCAGTGGGAAGGACTAAACAGTAAGATGGAGCAAATGCTGCCCTTATTATTGTAAGTCATTCTATGGATAGTTAGAAGTTAAATTTGGGTTGTTTCTTGACCCATGATTCTTCATAACCCATAATAACCCCACAATAAGGACTGTTACAATTGGAATACGCAACCCAGGCCTGTGCATTCGTAAGAATTGCACACTTCACTTGCATATGCCCTAGGCGTGGGAAGGAAGTATGAGATAGGAATTGTCTTGCATAGTTTCATATAAGTATTAAAAAATGAATTAAATTAAAAAATAGTATAATTCATAATGCTTTCTTAAATCTTGCTTTTACGTTTTCCTAAATTTATTGATAGGGTG